TCTCTCTCTTTCTCTCTCTCTCTATCTCTCTCTCTCTCTCTCTCTCTCTCTCTCTCTCTCTCTCTGTTTCTCTGTGATCTGCTTTTCTGATAACACATCAAAGCGGAAACATTTTGTTACTTACTGTGAACTTGTAGAAGAAATAACTTGGAAGAACAGCTGATTGTTTTGTTTTTATTCTACACTCCTTGGGCCTTTTCCCCACATCTTTATCTGTGTGTTTCTGTGTCAGGGATCATAAATTTCTTCAACAGCAGTCCTTTTCAGATATGTGTTGCGACGAGATGGAATCATGCTCTCGTCGATTTTCGAGCAAATGGAGTTATTGGTGTCTTCTTTACGCTTGTTTATTTGTCTTGTTTGTTGGAAAAAATACTCATCTATCTCGAATATAAGTCGAGATATTTACGATTGAAAGAGGTGGGGTCACCTAGTGTCAGCTATAAAGTAAGCAAGAAAATTACTTTCAAGGTTTGGTGACTTCCAAAGGTATAGTCTTCTTGGAAACTGCAAATTTACAAAAATATTTTGCCTTTGATTAATGTTTTTCAGTAAAATACACACAGGAGTATGTTTTTAAATAGACATAGAATGTGTTGAGCCCTACGAAAACTTTGAAAAACTTGCCCAATAAGTATAAAAATGCTGATTTCTTTGATTCCATTATTTTGACAAGCGCTTGATTTCACCCTGATGCCTCACATATGTTAACTTTGGTTTGGCACGTCCATGAAATGTTCTCTGCTCTGACCAACGCTGGGGGCTCCAGTGGCTAAGTGAGCCGTGAGTTCAGACTCAAGTAATGTCAAGCAAGTGTCTTTGACACCAGGTTTCAATGGGTGGTCACCGGAATGTAAGAGCGTGCACGAGAAGAGCCGAGTACTGGTTTCTCGCGGGAAATGCCCTTCCCGTCACTGGCCGGTACCGAGAAGTGATACCGCTCGTTGGCTTTACACAACTCACAACGAGTAACGAGGGTGAGAGGTGTCAAAGGAAAGAGCGGCACAGCCAGTGAGGTATGACACACAGACAGTGTTACCCATCACCGTGCCGTCCTGTGTCTGAAACTGAAAGGGAGGGGAGAAGGTGGCGAGGCGAGTGGGGCTCAGGGCTCAGGACCTTACTGTATAACCTCCGTGGCCTAGGCCTAGGTCTCCTTACCTTCCTTCACAGCTTGCACCTGCGCAACAGGGTTAGCCTAGTTTAGATCCCGGCCGTGCTTCTCATCCAACGACGAGAGAAGAGAAATAGGTCACAAGACGAGAAGCACTTCTCGGGACCAGTACCATCGAGAAATAGGTCAGCTTCTCGGTCTTCTGGCTCTGGAAGAAAAAAGTGCTTCTCGCCCGTCTCTACTGGAAAGTGTCCATGAGCAAGACACAACAACCCTAGCTCAAAATACAGGGCGCAGCACCGTGGCGACCAGCAATGGCTTGGTTGTGAAATTGTTCTGTACTGGTGTAATATTGTGAATTTATATATGTATTTGTGCATGTATTTATGTATGTATGTATGTATTCATAATTATGTATGTTTGTATGTATGTATTCATAATTATGTATGTATGTTTGCCATTGTAAACCAAACTGCCGTTCTGGGATCAATAAAAATGTACTTTATTTTTATTATTATTATCATTCAGGAGTCTCAGCGTCTCCCAGAGGGAGCCAACGTCCCAGCTCTGGGCCTGTCCAACAAGGCTGTGTTCTCAGACGCTGGAGACGGAGTCAAGAAAGAGGAAGAGGAATCTCAGAAACCCGGCCAGTACCCAGAGAATTACTTCAGTCCAGTCAGCCTCACTGGTGAGTAGAAGATAAGACAGAGAATATTTTCTTGATCTCTACATGGGGAAATTTCATACATCGTGGTAAATACTTCCACACACTCTCTCTCTGTCTCTCTCTCTCTCTCTCTCTCTCTCTCTCTCTCTCTCTCTCTCTCTCA